AATAAAATTATTTTGATTAAAATATACTTAAGAATGTGTTCTGAATTAAGGATGAAGCAAACAACTTTAAAAGTTATCAGATTTAACCTACACACAAAATATCTTATCCTCGAATACAGAAACAGCCGTTTGTCACTAAAAGTGTGTGAAATAGGATATGATCAGCACTGGAATTGTGTCACATTGCTTTAAATGTTTACAAACCTGCAAAATTTGTTGTTAATCAAATTAACCTTAAAGTCACCATGGGCAGACTCTCAGCTTGTCTAAGAATTTGAATTTTTCAAGTCCAAATTATGGCATATAGTTCTAAAAATATTAAATGAATAAGAGATAAAGGGAGCCTCGCATGAGTAAGAATCTCAAAGACAGAGTTATGTCCCTTCACCTTTCATTTTCACAGGAAATCACTCCATTTGGATTTTAGTATTCCTGCTTCCAAATAAAGAGGAGAAGGCTGTGGGTGGTGGGAAGCAGGGGTGTGGGAGGGTACATTGTTGTCTATTAGTGGAATCAACCCTTTCAGTTGACAAAGACAACAACCAAATCTGTAGATGGTTTATTTGATCTGCGTGAAAGAGTGGCAGTGGGATTTCTGGCACTTGAATAAGCGGAAACAATATTTTTGGCTAGAGAGACTTTTGAGTTCTCTCAGCGAGCCTTCTAGAAGGCCATCTGGACCAAACAGTATTTCTTTTGTAAAGCTCTGCATTTGGAAACACAAATGAAAGGTGTGCGGGCTGCAATCAGATACCCAAGAAAATAATTTGCTTTCAATATTGGTGTGTGTGTGGGAGGGTATTCCTTGTAATTTTCTAGGTGAAGAACTTACATGAGGAAAAAAAACCTTTTTTTTTTAAATTAAGATATATGTTCCTCATTTATATTCCAGTAGAGGATTTGCTTCTGAACACAAACTTATTAATTTGCATTATTGCTTACTCTAGTGAAATTAGAATGTTTCAGTTATGTGTGTTATTTATAGTCATTATGTCAGGTAGTGGCCTTGTTTTTGACCTTTAAGTTGTTCGTTGAACCTAGATTTTAAAGATGAACCTTCCTTGTTTTTAGCCAGTTTGCAAAGCTGTAACAAATGAAAAATCTTGAAAAGGTTAAATGAAATCCTTCCAAAATAAAATAAAGCATTTATGGCAATGATAGCAATAAACCAGGGAGCTTGGAAAACTGGAAATGAAGCAGAGCCATATTTATAGGCAGATACTGCAGAAATATGAATATTCTAGCAAAGTACCTTTGAAAATTGGTCACATGTGCTACATTTTGCTATTCTTTCACATTTTTCTGTTAGAGCGTCCATTTGAAAATAAATGGTAAATTCTTATATTAAGATTTCTTGGAATTATCAATCATTTTTAAAAAGCAACTACTTCCTTTAGCTGTCATTTTTGTCCAAGAAGTGATGAATATAGAAACAGAAAAAAATATCACTGAATTTATCATATAGACATTAAATACATAGTATCATACATACATGAATGTATATGTAGTATAAATGCATATGTTACATATGTTTATTTGTAAACAAATTATAGTTTCCACTGATATCAACTAATATTAACTAATTATTTACTTCAGATATTTTCATTTCAATGATCTACTTTTCATACTACATACAATTCTTAGTCAATAAAAAAAACCTGTTAAAATCATATTTTTAAATAGGCAATACTAACTTTAGTTGATAGAGAATTTTTAAATGTTATGGAACAACATTATTATGAAAAATGACATAAAAATGAAATTAACTTTCAAAAACCCTTTATAAATTTAAAACAAATCACATGGAAGTGACTTATCCTGGCTAAAATATTTTATTGAGTAATTCAAAGCTAAAATAATTAATGACATGCAGCTTGCATCTCAGAATATATTTTTCTGGAAGGATGAAAGAAAGAATCAAGTTTGATTAACATTATGGCTATATACCTCACAATTGATATCAGCTAAATTAGAAATAATTTAGCTTATGGGAATTAAAATAGGGGCATAGAGTATGTGGAGTGTTTAGACATTTTCCAACAGACTTAATAGAAGAAGATGACCTCGGTCCTTAAAGTCAATTGGTAGCCTAATTCTTATTAGTGGGGACTAGCGTACCAGGCAAATTCTTAAAGTAGTCACAAGTATCATTACCTGCCAAACAGTGACAGATTATTATTTTTTAATGTAAAGTATTTTCACCTGACATTAGACTAAGGGCCTCAAACTTGCTTTCCCTTGAACTTCTAATTAAAATAAAACAAGAAAATTCATGTGATACCAGAGACTGAACCCCAATAATTTGTCTACTCATGATCTAAGTATCCCCATGAATTTTGTTATTGGGAGAGGAAAGGGAAAAAAGGAAGAACTTTTATTTTTGAATAATAATGATAGCTATGTAATAATAATTACTATTATTACTATAGAAGACACAATTACCCAGCATTAACTGTAAATTTCAGCTATACCTTAGTTCTTAGGGAAGAATATAATTTAAGATGGGAGCAGAAAGTAGAGAAAAGCAAAGACATGTAATTTTGCCTTCTTGGGTCATTTCTACTTATAAACATTTCTTGAATAAAGTTTTTCATCCGAGGGGGGGAAGAAAAGGTCTTTCAGAAATTTGTAAGTGTCTTACTGGGACCCAACCATCAGCTTCCTCTCATTGACAGAGTCACCTGTGCTTTGGACAAAGTAACCGAGGGTGTATGTTTTCATCAGTGATTCACATTTGAAATACAACAGATTAGATGTTTGTTGGAAGCAATCCTTCCTACAACTGAGCAACCTATTTATACTAAATCTCTACAAACAGAACCCACATGATTTAAACCCCAAGACCTCTCAAGACCCGGAGTCACCTACCTGCAGACCCTATTTTTGTGACCAGCCAATTTGTAGGCAAAGTGAAAGAAACATGCGAACTGGATAAAACAACCGTGTGTCCCCACTGGAAGCCCCATTACTTGAATCACTTCAACCTTGCTGGACAAAGCACCACGAGAATTTGCTGTCGGAAACAAACCTACACGAATGGGGCACGGAAGAAATGACCTAATAGTCTCCCTTCTGCTCCAATCTCTACAGTTCTGTGTTAGCAAAAGCTGCCACACTATTGTGAAAGCTTATGCCCCAACAAGAGGGCATTGCTTATTTTTTTAAAAAAGTTCAGAATTTAACATTTAAGTTGCCATCATCAAAAGGCAAGGACACCCGGAGACGATTTTCCCTGGGAACAACACTTTCAAGATAACAATGGAAAAGTGTTGTGTTTTTCTTCATCCAAGAACTTAAATGCCAGTAACAGAGTGTGTTTCTAGTTGGAATGTTGTTTGCTGGCTACCTGAAATTTAGGGTAACTTCTCCCATACCCTAGCTGCTTACAATGCCAAGTGGCATCCTTTGATGTTATCCAACATGAAACCCAGACTGGAACTCTGCCTGGTCTGCTGTTTTGAGGGCCCATATCCTGCCTCAGTTGATTATTTCAGTTGGAGGTATTCATCACATGCATGGCCTCAGCTGACATAAGGTGCACACAGAGGTGTAGAATATTTAAGGAGAGTGTGTGCAGGCAAGCATGGGAAAGAGGAGAGCGGATGGGGTTATGTGCATGTATGAATGAAAAAGTACATGGCTCTTCTCTCTAGATAAATATCTATGTTTCAGGATATGGATTTTTGGGCCAAGATAGAGAAGTGAACATAAAACACAATGTCAATAATATTTTTCTATGAATTGCCATGTTTTTCCAATGGTCACTACTGATTTGAAATGAGAAGATGCTATTTATCCTGAAAGTGGTATATGTCCAGATGGGATATTTCTGATATCACAGATTCTGTCTTTTGATTTTAAGTGCAAATTTGTACAAAGATGATCTTGTGGGTGAGGGTGAGCATGCGTGCCTGGTTGGAATTGAAGGCAGGTGTCCGTAGGGAGAGGGAGGGAGTGACCCATTTAATATTGTTACTTACTTTCCCAAGTCCTGGGATTTTCAGGTGTTTTTATTGCCAGTGGAAAGTGCAAGTGACACTTCTCACTCTGATGTCACCAGTTTTTGCTTTCTGTTGTTGTTTTTTTTTTTTGTAACAGGGACTATTTAACCTTTAGAACCTTAATAATGTTTCCACATCCTCCCCTAAGTACTTCTGCCTTGGAGGTATCAAAACCTCACTCTTTATGTAAGTAACAAGGGCGAATTTAGATATTACCTCTAGGACAGTTTTGCAAATGCAACTTTCCCCCCACCCTCTTAAAGGGAGGCACACGGTATTATTGCAAATAACCTTTAAGATAATTAACTGACAATGCTGCAACTAGCATAAAATCTTCCTTCAGGCGACACCTAATTTAAGTGTTACTGGCACAAAGTGGAGACAGATTGCGCATCACCACTGCAATATTTACATAGCAGAAACCCACAGCGCAGGAACCGCGAGGCTCAATGATGCACTAAATTAGGAACAACCGTGCTCCAGTGTTAATTTGCTTTCCATTCTATCCAAATCTCAGGTCCAGGAATTGGTACAAGCACATACACAACCTCCCACTCTTGTATGACTAAACCGGAGGAGATTTTTGTACTTTTCTGCCCCATTATTAAAGTAACTTGACATTTATTTCTCTCCACAAGAACCATTTGATCAAACTGTTTATTTCATTACAACTTGCTCTCACTTTGATCTAAAATTATTTTCATATGACAGCTGTATCAGAGTCTATAGAGAAAAACTAAACAGACTTCCTCTCTTTTCTCAAAGGCTGCCAACATAGTTTATGAAAAGAAAAAAAAAAAGAGAGATGTGAGAGCCAGTTGGTGAAATATTTAGGAACATGGCAGGGCGAATTTACCTTAGGCGAATTTCTCACTGATGAATATTGTCCCCCCAATTCAAACCCTCTCCACCAAAATCATCCCAACAATGATTTTTTTTCATTCCTCCCCACAGTACTTTAAACACCGGTTTCATCCAAGTCGTTAATAAAACATTTACCTTTCCTAATTGTTGATGCTCTTCAAAGGCGGCGATCAGTTCTTCGGCCCACTTAATTTTTTCAGGGGAAGGAGAAAACTGCTCCTGGACGGCTGCAATTTGGTTAGGGTGTATCACCTGCTTACCTACAAGGGGATTAACAACACCGGGAACACAAAACAAGTAGATGTTCAAACAGAACGTCTGAACCCTGAGAGGCTCCTGAATGCCTCACAGACTGTATGTAAAATAACTCATTATTTTAGCACATTTAAAAAGAAAATAACAGCAATTGGGCAGGCTTCTCCAGAATACCACATAAGAACAAACACAACAATGGGAGTAATTGTGTTTCCGATCCTATAGAAATGCCACCTTGGTGCAGATAATCTCTCAGTTTTAGCTACAGGTGGACTGACTAAGCAGCTCGTTGAATAACTGCTTTGGCTGGAACTTTAAAGGATAATGTCTGCAAATTAGAGTGATTATTTTGAAGTAAAGAAGAAAAATTTTATGTTAATTCTTTCTAATTTGTAAGTTGTGTTTGGCTTATTTGGCACCATTACCCTGCCTTCCACGATTTCTTTTAGAAGTCATCTGTTGGTTTTCATAAAGCTTACGGAAGCAGGTATTACAACTATATTAATATCAAATAGTGTCTCATAATAATAATTTATTTTTTTCCTCTTAGATATAATATGTCATTTCTAACCACTAGTAGAAATTCAGATTTCAATGAGAAAATTTTATTCAGTACAGTAAACTAGAAGGCAGATTTAAACAGTGTGGTCCCTAAATTACTCCATTTAAAAATGTTTAAATAAAAATTACAGAAAGTTTCTCGACCTAAAAACATAACCAGATTTTTCCTTTTTTCTTAGAGAATGAAGATACTTAGACACCAGATGAAATCTTATCTTTGTAGTAATATTTTCTTTTTGAAGTTTAAGGATCTTAAATAAAAACATTATACAAAGATAAGAGTCACAGGATTCTAGGAAATCATGCAGTCATTAAAAAGAAACAGTTTAACAATCAGGGAAGAATAAAATCTAATCAGGTCATTAATAAAATGAAACATAATTTAATGTTATAATAATGTTGAGGTTATGTTTTATTACGTAATAAAATTATGGAAATATTTGGTTCTTTAAAATGAATGTACGCTTAATGATCACTTACTCTGCTAAGTATATTTGTTGGTATATCAATTTGCTTTGCTTTCGAAATAGTGTTTTAACATTTAATCATTAGAAATTATATCATTGATGTTTTTAAAAAGGTCAATTCCAGTTATTGCCATTATTCTATCGAATAGAAAAAAAGAACAATTTTTTGTAAAAAATATTTTTTTTATTATGAAAAAGAGTCTCCATGAATAAATATAGTAATATCTTTCCTTACAGTGGCATAATTAAAACATCCTCACATTGCTATTTCATTTTTAATCTGTCAGCATATTAATAAAACATTATATAAATAAAGCTGCTTTAAATTATTTGAGGAATAATTTCTGGGAACAAATAACATCAATGATGACAAATGAGAGCTTTTTTCAATAGTAGGTACTGAAATTATATTTAAATAATCTAATAGTTGTTACAATATTATTAATAAAGGATGTCAGTTCTGGTAGTCATTTTGTACTAATTGTTGGTCCTGAATTTTATAATTTATGTACATAATTTACACTGATGTGTAAAAAGCCAAATTTCATGGGAACTTCATAGTATAGACATGATAATTTGAGGAGCAAAACACAAACTATTTAAAATACAGTAAAACTACTGATGGCTTGCAAGTACCCATATGTTGGTAATGAGGCTAACTTTAAGATATGTGTTAGGTTTTAGAAATTTATGAGCATTCATTTGTGAAGTTATCTTTTGTTGAATTTTGTATACCTCAACAACTGAATATCGGACTTTAATGCCATGTAGGAGCAAAGCAAATATTTTATACAGAAGAGTTGTTATTGACAAGTTACTGAGAGGGTGCAAAATTGGAAGACATTAAAATTTATGACCATGAAATCCTTTTTACAGTACCACTTGATATATCATGCTTTAAATCAATACCTGTCAAGTCTTTTAGGTAACTGTATGATGCTGTCATTTTTGTCTTCTATAAAAGACTGCAAAAAAGAGGAAAACCTATAGAGTTTCATATTTATAATCTTTCTTCTCAGCATGTAGTACTGGAGTCAGCTCTTAGAGCTTTATTCTAAGGTTTATTTTTGGTTTATTTTCATAGAAATAATACCTAAAGTTAACAATTATTTTATACAGCCAATGCATTGATTTAAAATCTGCCTACATGGGTTGTGGCTGTGAAACAATGACTACAGAAAAGAAACTACAACCCACTGTTTCATGCATGGTTCACTTTAAAAAACTATAACTCATTAAAAATATATGTAATTTTTTAAAGTACAGAAAATCCGGATAACACAGACTGCGTGTTTCTTTCAGTGTTATGGATAACACAATACTTTCATTGAATTTTAAATTTTCAACCACCTGCTTCAGACAGGACATGTGTCCGTCCTTCCTTCCTTCCTTCCTTCCTCTCCTCCCTTCTTGTGTAAAGCCCAAGGAATGGAATTAAAAGATAAATAATTAGGACAAACAGATCATGAGTGGCCTAAAATGCTTATTAAATCATTTATTGTTTTAAAATACTACAAATAACCTCCTATCTTATCAGACTAATTACCTTTTATTGGCATGTAGAAATATAATTGGGACAACAAAGACCTTCTTTCTAAAAATTGCAAAATGGTCATAAAGTGTAGCTCCCTACTTCACTGACTTGTTCGCTTGAATATATAATGGGCACTGTACCCTCTGTGCCTCCCCACCCCCCCTTCCATTTTTTGTGTGATTTAATACTCCCTGTTGTTGAGAAACAATAGTGCCAAGCCCATAAGCTCCTCATGCTGAGTTGGGCACAGTCTAGAAATTTAAATCTGATTTGAAATAACTTGTCTTCTGCGATTGAATTAGGGACCAATTTAATGTAGTCCTGTATCTTGGAGAAACCCTAAAACTCCTTTGTAAGTTTCGGAGCAAACATTTACCCCAGAGGAGACTGAGGACACCCAGGTTATACTGAGTGATGGTGACAGAGGCCCGCGTCAAATTCAGCGCTTTCTGTTTCTTATTGCATTAGTGCCCATTTCAGAGCAACATCTGGTTGCTTGGCAGCCAATGCCGCACATTTTAGACCAACAACATCAGGGTCTATTAGATAGATTTCATGGAGTTTTTCTCCAACTTTTCCATTTGGGCCACGTCCTAACCAGTCGTTAGGAAAAGGCTGGTGTACAGGCCAGAGGGACAAGGACAGCCCCAGGACCAGGGCAGAGGCACTCTTTCTTTCTCAGTCACTATTAAATGTAGGGAGGATTTGTTAATAGCTCAGATGATTGAAAAATATTTCCCTGTAAGAGATTGCATGTACTTATTTATTTATTTACAAATTTGCGGGGGTCCCATTTTAACTCTCTATGTTAAAAACACAAAATCAAATATCAAAGCTTTATTTAATTCTAATGAACCACTTAAGATGGTTTCTTAAGCCTTCAATTTTACTTTGGGTTAAGTCATCATCCATTTAGATATCTTGTGCATTTAAAGTCACCTTAAGACATGTTTCTTTAGTAACCCCTAACTGGACACATTTCAAAAATATTTACCAAAGGGGTAGCATGGATGCTTGTCCTTTTTCCTTATTATTTGGATACAATTCTGAGCATGATATTTCTAGAATGTGCAGCAGAAGGACAAATAAGAATAAAAGATTTTAGAGTGTTTTTTAATCCATGGTTGCACATGTGTGTATGCAATTGCAGACATGTGTTTGGGTATAGAATTCTATTGTGGTTTCTCAAAAAGTAGATTTCTGTTGCAAAAACACAATTTTCGGTTGCTCCCTGGGCTCCCGGGGCCTGAGTGACCAGACACACCAATCAACAGATATCCGCCTGCGCTCCAGGACCGGATTGTGAGGGACCCGCTGATCGCAGTGCCAGCCAATGCCCGTAGGTGTTGCCAGGTGCATAGACACATATCGGGAGGTGGAAGAGAAAGAAGGAGCTTGGAGTGGCAGGTGAATAAAAACCGAGTTATGAGTGAAAAAAATAAAAAAGATATCACCAAATTTTTTTTTCAGAAATTCATTAATATTTGGACTACTGGAGGAAATTTTTCTTTAACCCATCAACACAAACTCATAAGGCAGTTCACCCAAAAATATTTCTACGACAGTCTCATCCCTCCCCTCGTGTCAGCAAAAAGTGCAACAAAATACTTAAGAGGACAGAAAAAAAATGGTCACTAATCTAAAGAGAAAATAAAATGAGTGATTTGCTTGTTGACTGGCAGAGCCCAAGAAAAACCTGACCATTTGTTGGGTGGGTTCTTGCCCTGGATGGCTTTTTCATGTTTCAGATAGTAGAACAGGTAGGTGTGTGAACTACCTGGCTACCTTAAGGAACACTGATTTCTGGAATGTTCGCAAATCTAGACACTGCTGTTCAAGATACCGTCGAGGACCATACCCGTAAATCCCATCGTAGCTCCTTCTCTCGCCTGCCTCAGAAGCCCCTCTTCGTCTCGAAAGTCGATGTACACCAGGTCTATGGCCTGTAGACCAAAGGCCTTCGCCACAACAATAATCTTTTGTCGGGCGTAGAGAATATCTTGGGTTTCTTTACTACTTGTTGCACCTGAAAGTGGGATGTTGGCAGAAAAAGGAGAGAGGTTAACTTTGGAAACTGAACCCATACATCTCTTGCAGAAACTCAGTATGTAAGGATGTCTAAGTCCTCCCTGGAATTGCTGCCCAGCGAGGTGATGATTCAATATAAACGAAGAGGGAGATGTGGAGGCAGAGTTAAACCTCATGTCCCTCTTGCAAGGCATCTTCCAGGATAATGGCTGTGTGCACTAAGAAAAGGCCCCTCCCCCCTCTCAGGAGCCAGACTCATGAATGACTTGGTAGGTGGGTGACGAATGACTTCTGATATGTATTTTTCCCTTTGGCCATCACTTGGAAATTGTCGGTCCAAAGGTAGCACCGCAAAAGGTGGCCAAGTGGCTGTGTAAGGAAATGGTTAAGTTCGCTCACTGAGCCCAGAATTTCACATGCTGTGGTTGCATTGCCCTGTTATCACTGAGGTTCTGAGCCAGATACTTCGGGGTTTGGATGGAGAACTTAGAGAAATGGAAGGGCACTCATTTGGAGAGAGGCAGAAAGTCTCCACTAAACTATTGGTGATACTAAGTCCCCTGGAAAGATTGGTATTAAAATAAGTTCCTTTTATTTTCACCCTGGGGGTGGGAGGGAGTGTGTTTACATTTGCTCAGGGAAAGCTCCCGTCTCAGGTCACTGGGACTGTGGCTCTGAAACACCTGTGACCTTGGCTTCTTTTCCAGATGCACCGTCTCAGACCAGGGGCACCGTGCCCACGCGATGGGGAAGAGCAGTGAGAACAGGCATGCATACTATCTCAATGAATATTTAATAATAAGGGTTCTGAAACAGATGAGGAGGTATTTAAAATCTATTTTAAATAATATTTACATACTACATATAATATAGAAAATTATTCAGTAGAGCATATGTGAAACTGCTTTAAATTTGTGTTAGGGGCCTCATTCCCCTTTACACTGACGTGAAAACAAAATATTTAAGCAACAGAGAGGATGTTCACATAATACTTATTATGAACAAAGTAGATGCTGTCTCTCCCCGAACACGTCTGAGGCTGCAACGGCCTTTTGATTAGTTATTTTATAAATGAACAGAGGTAATGGTGTTGTGTTCTGAAAGCAGGACACCAGTGAGGTGTCCTAAATTATCAGGAAGTGTCCATTCAGCTGAAAACCATTGTCATGGTTGGCAAATATATTGTCATGTAAATGTCCATTTGTGAAGGGGCCCAAGAAGAAAAGTATACACGTATATGCAGAGAGAGAGAGAGAGAGAGAGAGAGAGAGAGAGAGAAAGAGAGAGAGAAATGAGTCTTTGACACCTATGCTGGCTCGAAAGTCTTCTCCTCCGAAAACGACAGCATCTAGGAAAAGGCCCACTGGAGGCCCGGCCTTTACTGCTTCTTTGCACACTGCCTGTAAAAGAGCAGAGCAGAACATCTCACAGAAACACACGAAGAGAGAGAAGCCGCATGGTATAGATTCAGCACCAGAAAGATCCAGCTCTGAATACAAGGCAGTTTGTCTGAAAGCAGTCCTAAAAATGCAGCCCCAGTCACCCCTTTCCAAAGGCATTTAACATTGTTCAAGATAAGTCTGCTGTATACATTGGCTCTGCTTTAATGGATTATATTAATATAGCCATTAACATATATTAATATAGTTAGAATGTTTGAATTGTAGTTCATCCAATTTCTAGAAAAAGTTTGAGTTAACTCACTTTGATTGTCCTATAAGTAATTTATATTTTTCCAAAATTTATTTTTGCTTTAAGAGACTCAAACCATACACATAAAGCCACAAGAAAGAAGGAAAGAATTTTTAAATCAAACTAACTGAATTATTTGCATTAGGATCAAGATTTCTTAGTAAGTGGTTTTTAGGATTAAAGACACACAATACAAAAATCTACAATGCCAGAGGGGAAAATAAAAATGCAACAAGTCACCCAAGACGTATTAATAAGCCACTTTGATATTTCTATGTGAAATAAAGATAAATGACATTCGTCGCAGACATCACTGTGAACCTACAAAGGTTCCTGCTAATATATGTGGGTGGGGATGACATGAGAGACCCGTGAGGACCCTCCTGATTAATTTCAGGGGTTGTAAGTGCTTCTCGGTATGTTATGGAATGAAATGGCAAAACAGTGCTAAAAATTAAATCGTTACATGAATCTAGCTGCCTCTAAGAGATATGCTTTGATTATATTCCCAGAATTCTAGGGTGGGCTTGGAAGAGTCTGTGGTTAGTGGTGTAAGCACGCTTGAAGCAGCTCCCCACACACTTGCACTCTGCTCCTCCTGCATGGTCCAGCGGGTCTCAGAGTTTCCCCTCAGAGCGTTTGCTCACGTATTACCTCTCCAGTACAGCTCAACTATCGTTTTATTTTGTTTCATTTTTAGGAATTTCTTCTCTCCTGCCCTCCGGGATAGGGTGCTACACTGATGTTCACAGGTCAGGTGTAATGTGAGGCATATTTTGGAAAACAATTTAAACGACAACTGATAAAGGGATTTTTTTTTACAAGCTAGCTATTAATTTGTCAAGGCAAACAGTTTGCTGCAACCAAGAAATGCTGGAAAACACTTGGGTAAGATAATCTTCCTGATATATATATTAAGAAATAGTTTATGTTCTAATGTGGTGAACTGAAATAATAGACCACAAATTATTGGCATATACTAACTAGCAAACAGTAATGTTATCAACTGGACTTTATGGATGATGTTGCTACAGAGACCAGAAAGTTTCCCAATAAAAGACAATTGCTACAAAAGAATAATTGAAAGTTAACTCATAAGGGTGACAAAATAAATTTTCATGCACATTTAATCTATAAATGTAATAATTCAAAGCACATATCTTACATAGAGATTATTAAATTAAAATTATTGCTAGGAACCTACAATTTAAATATTTAGGACTGGGAAGTTTTTCCTTGCTACTTAGCCAATTTCTTTTCTAAGATGCTCACAACCTGGTTTTGGATAATTACAAATAATAAATTGTGCTCAAGATTTACTTTGCTTATAAATCTTTTCAGAAAAATATTTTAAGTTAATATTGAAAAAAAGAGTTGTCTTTAGGTCCTAAAATACTAACTTCTAAGCCATATTAGGGTTTTCTTACCTTAAAATTGAGCAAACCCATTGCAGTTTCCACAAAAGGGATTAAGTTCATAGGTTGTTCAAGTTTTCGGCCTTTTAAGTAGAATGAAAATTTGTCTGAAAACTAAAATCGAAATTGTCATAGGTGATTAGTGAGGGAAAACGTACAACCACTGGAATGTAGACACAGAAGTAGTATTTAAGTCTTTGACCTGAGGAAGTAATATCCCAGCCTCTTTGGTCCACACAAAAGAATTTAAAAAAAGAAAAGAAAAAAGAGGAAAGACCAAAGGAAAAAAGGTAACAAAGTTCCCACCAAACTAAATAGTAAAACCCCAAGCATTATACTTTTTTTTTTTTTCCTAAAGGAGCAATTTGAGGCCTAGGACTTAGAACTGGAGGGAGAGATTCTTGAGTTTAAATGCTTCCCTTAAAAACATATTTATTTAAGACCTCTCACCCTCACTTTTTAAATGCAAGTGGTGGGCCCCTAAAACAATGCCGCCTGGCCCTACCTGCCCTTCTGTTTTTGTTTCATACCCAGCACTGACATCAGTGTAACTGCTCAACCTTCTACGTGGAATCCGTATTATTCATTATCGTACCATTACCCTTTGTTCAAGAGGGTTTTCTTCATAATTTTTTAGCTTACCTAGGAAGACCTTAAAAAGGAAGTTTAATTCTTTGAAGACCAAAGCTCGCCAATTTTTTCCATGAGACCAGTTCACAGCTAGCTCTGCGCTGCCAGTGGGGTAGCCCAAATTCCAAAATCTATCATCTGGAAACATACAAAAGCTCTTGCACAGACACCCCCCCCCCCTTTCAAAAGGAAAAAAAAAACCTCACCACACTCTAAATTGTAAATCTATTATGTCTATCTAGATCTAATCAGATGTGGGAAGATTAAAAAAACACACACAGGTATGACAAAGATATTTTTGTAAATAAAGATGAAAACATATATATCCATTTTAAATTTAAGGAATATTCATCCATTAATGGATATCAAAGGAAAAGGGAATTTTAATCATCTCTCCATTCAGTCTCAGTTGGGTAAATCATATCTAAGAGATTTGCATAAATATAAACCATCAAAGACTTTTCATCTTCAAAGGGGGTTTCAAGACCCTATAAGCTTTGTACTGTAATCATCGCAGGTCACCACCCTGCAGGAATAGGGCTGCTATGGCAACATAAAAAAACTAATGCTTAAGGCTTAGCATAATATTCTGACTAATAGAAAGGAAACTCATTTTAAAAGCTGGCAGCCTATTTACCAGAAGCAGGATTAGAGGTGTTATTTCCCCTTTTAGCTGCCCCCTCCTTGCCTGTGCAGCCCCCCCCCCTAAAAAATCTAATCACTGGGATCTTTAAAAAGCTTTTGAGCAATTTGCAGTAACTTTACAATTAGGCTAAAATAAATCACAGCTTTCAGTAATGAAGAATTATTCCCAGTTGCTCCCACTGCTCCCTCCCTTCCTCCGTCACCATCATCATCACCTCCTTAGTAACTTTGCAAGGGAAGGAATAACTCAACCGAAATAGCAAGAAAGAAGAGAGGGCTACAATTTAATGGGACAAAATGTATAGCATTCCATGTAAATGAAAATAAAACATAATTTATGTCACATTTAAGCTAGAAAGCAGGTAGTGACATATTGGTGGTTTTGGTGTTACATATCCAATGGAGGGATTCTTTTTTCTCATTAAAAAAAAAAATCGTGCAATGTTACTTGCTCCATGGTTTGTGATAATAGTTATAATTACAAAAATCATCAAGTTTAAAACTAGGTAAACGCTCTACAATATATTCCCTGTTCTCAGTGAGAAAAATCTCCAACCCCTTTTGTTTTTTTAAGCCAATAGGGGCATTTAAAAATTAAATATTCCAGCCCATCCTCCTTCCCCTCCTCCCCTTCTTTCTTAAAAAATTGCATTAAGTACGCACACAAAAGGTAACTAGTGGAGAAGTTTCAATTAATTTTTTCAAAAGGAGACGATTAAATGTTTCCGGCCTGGTAAAGTGTTCATTTCAGCGAGGTGGAGGGACTGGGGGGGCGGGGAGGGAGGAGGAAAAGAAGGGGGGAAAATCACAAAGAGATTGGGGAGGAGATGAAGTAGCAGGGCTCAGCAATTCTTTCAATTCCAGTGCACACCCAATAGTGTGTTGGAAGAATGCACACTGTTCGGGATTTGTGGGAGAATTGTCCCACGACAAAGGAGGCAGAGTCACGCTTGTTATAGTCCAATAAGCCGTGCCAGTCAAACAAGAACCCACACTAGCGACAAAAGGCCAGCAAGAGATTCTCACACAAAAGAAAACAAGGAAGCCCATCTTTCAGTTGTGCATCAGGCTCTGGATTTTATGCTTCACATAAATACAAACGGAGAGGAAAAAATAAACAGCCCAAAAGACTTCTGTTAACTAGAAATCCCATTTAGATTTCGGTGCGTTCCTCACATCCAGGGATTTAAAACAGGGAACAGAAGCTGGAGCGGAAGGCTGGGGTGGGTCCCCTCCTCTCCAATGAGGGTAATAACGGTGATAAATAGACATTAACTAGGAAACCAAAAGGGAACAGTGGCTTCGGATTCCATTTCAATCAATTTAAGACACATTCAAGGCTAGAAGCCCTTGAAGATATTAACCTAGTATAACCAGTATCTCCCGGCCTCTGAGAGTTGACCTTGGAGAGGAGCGCTCCAGTGTAGAGAGTAAATATGAGTCCTTGAACACCGGGCTCAGAAGGTACCAACACGGAGCTGTCCAGCTGAAGGATAATGGCAGCTACCTGTGCAATTCTAAATTCTCTAGTAGCTGCATTAAAAGAGTAAAATGAAGCAATTAACATTATTAAAAACCAATGCAGCCTAAATAATATCATTTCAACGTGTGAGAGGTCGGGGGACTACAACATCTTCAAAATCCCATGTGTATTTTACACTTCCAGGACATCTCAATTTGGACTTGCCACATTGCAAGCGCTGGGTACCACAGGTGGCAGGCAGCCACGGCACTGGAAAGCACAGGCCCAACGCATCTATGTGCATTAAAAAGGTGAGCAGTTTCCTCAGGTGTTACAGCTACTCAGTGTATTGTTACAGTTGCAGCCACAGCCTCCGAGTAACCCCAGATGTGGCATCAAAATCACCACTGTCCACACCCCCTTACCACGCCTCCAGCATTTACGTGTCACAGGCCCTCTGTCCTGGAGTGGCCCAATGAAATGTTATTTTATTCAGCAGAGATCTGCAGAATCATAGCACCCCTTAAGTAAAATCTCGCCTTCCCCCCTCCCCCCCTCGCCCCATTTTAACAATGAAAACAATCATAGTATAATTAGGCCCATTTCAAAGTTTTCTTAAGTAATTTGACATGCCAGGTTTTTATTGGCCGAAAAGTCTGTCATGAAACACAAACACACCTGTCAGCAATTTAAAAAGGAGGAACTAGAGAACTGTTCAGGAAATAATATCTGTGCTAATTAAAACCACTGGTTAAAAGCTTCCTGTTTATTCCTCTGTTTGCCCTAAGGAGTGACCTTTACCGCTCCTCCTCCAGGTTCATTTTTTCATTTGTGGCTAATGTGCTTTCTCGGACTATGCTGTCTTCCAATCAAGCTGGCTGGGTAAGGCCCACTTACAGCACTGCTCTCCCAGGTGGAGGGTTGGGGCCTGGAGGGGTGTAAGAAGCTATCCAATCTCTAGTTTTCAAGAACTGCTCTGTAAGGGCTACTGAGGACCCTGTGCTGTCCAGTCCACAAATCTGATGAGGGAGCAGAGGCATCATTTCAAGAGTAGAGCTGTCCCGTTAGAACACTTTGGGCAAAGCCAGGTTCTCTGTGGGTGAAGAATATGGTCTCTTGGGCTCACTCCTTTTTCTGAATTCCCTTTCTGCTCTGTGTATGTATTTTCAAAACCGGCAGCACCCAAATGCTTCCTTTCTGCTACTCCCTCTTAGCCAGTCTTGAGTCTTTAATTAAAGCAAAGCATTAGCTACTCACCCACCGGATTTCCTCAGGCCCTTCCACCTTGGGGAGCATCAGGCTGGAAGGAAGGACCCGGGACTGCAGGAGGGTCTCCAGGTCCTCTTCGGCCAGACCACTGGACACTGAGTTGATTCTCACACACTTTTCGGTTGGGCCCAGATCAAAGTCTTCAAGAGTTTTTACTATTCTTAACCGAGCTTCATTCTGTCAGTGTTGAGAAAATGAATCTCCTGAGTATATTTATCATTGAGAGGAAACAACCCAACTGTCTGTGAAACTGTTATGTGGATTTAAGCCTGGGCATCATGTCTATATCTACAACTTTCCTGTCTACCAAATACTAGTGACTGGTATTTGAAATAAGTCATCCGATCTGATAGACTGATTTCCAGACTTCATTCAAGGTGACGTGGAACATAGGTGATGGTCACTGTGATGTATACTAGCGTACTTCTAAGTAGTAGTATCATTTTGCTCATTAACATTACTTCTCAAGTGCAAAAGTAAATTAATTGATAGGTAGCATTTACTTGGTACAAGGCATGGTTCTACGTCTTCTATCTGCTATTTCTCATTTAATAAATATGAGGAGCTAGATAATATGGGTAATGGCAATCTCATCTGTCAGCGTAGTCACATTAAGGGAAAAAAAATAAAAATTTGTTTTTCTTTTTCCATATGCTTCATGCTTTTTACTCACTTTTTAAAAAAAATATATTTTTTGCAATGGAGTTGAATCTTGACACTTAATTAGGAAGGCACGCATAGGAAACTGACACTCCACGCTACAAAAAAGCTCCAACTTATTCAGAAGGAAGGCAGTAATATCACCAAGAAACCCCTTCATGAAGTGGAAGGAAATATACATGTTTTTCCTTTGATTTGACAGTCTTTGCTCCAGTTAAGGAAAACTGAACGGTTGAAAGCCTGCCTCAGTATCTGAATTGTCCTCAGCAAAACTGTATGAAACCAAACATGTTATTGATTGGCTTTGAGTTGGGGGTGATGAAGGTGAGGGGAGCCGGGAAAGGAGTGATTGAGGGGGTGGGGGTTGGAGTTGAAAGAAAAGTACTTTGAGGTCATTACTTCCTGGCTATTTCAGTTTCAAAAACAAATTCTTTCAACTTGCCAACAGCCCTCAACTAATTCTCATTGTCAGAATGAACACGTATCAAAAGTAGTTTCATTTGGGAAGAGATTTTATGATACTAATAAAACTTTAAAGCTTCTCACTGCTGATGAATGTAGTTTAAAAAGAAAAGTTTTAACAATATGCAGCCATTTGCACAGCAATACTTATCTAGGAAAATAGCAAACTGAAACGGTGACAAAAAAGAATGATTTGAGCTGATGTTGAATCTAAGTCTAATCAACAAGACAAGCCAGGACAGTAGATTTAAACCAGACGGAAGTGGGCCTGCGACCCCATGGAAGCAGGGAAGGCGTCCAAATGTGGTCCGAGTTAAACAGTGTGAGGAAACGGTAGCTTAGAGTTGTCAGGTCAGATGGAAACAGTACGTAGGACAGTTTAAGACGGCTCCGTGGAGTCCTGATTTACAGAGCTCCGATTGCCAATAATTAGACCAAGCTTAGGCAAAAGCAAGAGAGCGCTCACACGAGCTAACGGGAGGGTGACACAGCCACAGTGGCCTGGTTCCACGCCATGCTGTTGGCCATTCCACGGCTATCTAACGCATCCACTCCTTTACCATGCCCTCTTGTTACATCCACCAAATACGAAAATCCCGAAGGTGAAAAGCAGACGTTAACTCAATGTCATGGTCCCAAGGCTGTCTAGAGCTGGCGAGAGAAATGCGTCCAGCTCTTGGGCAGTGCGTGTACTTAGGTCCCTGGCCTCGGAGAACCTGAAATGTGTTGTGCTCTGTGTAGCCTGCACCACCACAGACTCAGGATTGCAGCGGCTCGTAAACATTTCAACCTGCAGGATTTCTTTCAGTAGCAGGTCGAGCTTGTGAAGGGTCTGTTGGGACAGTGAATGGAGAATGGAAGGGAACTCGCTAGATCATTTAGGCTGAAATGCATTTTAAAACTAGAGCTATTGGATTCTTCTCTGCTTTCATCTGCCTGTGTGCGCAAGGACACAGGATCACGGGCAACATCGACTTCCTACATTGTTCATGTTGGTGTCAAACAAGATGTAACCTTTAAGTTATTTTGCTGTTTCACTTGGATTTGAAAGGGGACTGTTTGTTCAAAGCTCATGTTCTAAACCCGTTGGTGATTTTTATCTCAGGTCAGATTGCCATGGTTTCAGCACATTCCGGTTTACTTAGTAAAATTCAGCCCTTGTGAAATTGGCTGCAAACGAAGTACCTAATTCCAACTTTAGGCATAATCTGATTAGTACTTTTCCTGTTACAATAATGAGCAGCAAATAATCAGCATTTTATTAGACTTTTTCTCCCCCCCGCCCCCCCTCCCCACTTCTGGCTCAGAATTAAAACCGAGCTCTTTCCACTTCATCATTCTGTACCTTTCCAAAAAAATAAAAAGATGGCTTTGGAGATATATTGCCACACAACACCCTTATTAACAGGCTGTTGCTTGCTGCAATTTACATAAACTAAGTGTGCATCCCTCTGCCATGTATCCCAAAATATCCAACCACGGAATTCACACCAACCAACAAGCATGGTGATTTTTTTTTCTTTTTGGTATTTTAATGGTGAAATATGTTACTGTGCTAGCAAACATACCCATGCCATCTGTCGGGTGAGAGGAAGGCAGTTTCTAAGAACAATTAAGTTTAGTTCAGGGTGTTCAGCTAGAGAGAGCCACAGTCCACCCAGTTGTGAAAAGAAAGAAATGGGGTTCACTCCGTTCTCTGCCTTCCCCTCTCTCTCCTCCTCCCCTCTCTCTAACTTCTTGCTACCATCTCTCTCTCATCTCCATCTCCTCACTCCCTTTCACATTTCTCTCCTTTTCTCCACTCCTGTTTGGCCCTGACCATCCTTTCATTTCTATCTTGTTAGGGGATTAGCAAATACAGCCCGGCAGCCACCATCTCCTCAGAAGGGCTGGCTAGGTGATCTGCTGAGATTATTGGGAGCTGAGTGCTCCCTGGAGAAAGAAGAAAATGAAAACGAAAGCATAAAGAGGCCACTCAAAAAAGATCTTTTTTTGGGGGCGGGGGTAGGGGAGTGTCATATTCTGGTAGCAAAACGGGTTGTTCAAAATGAAGTTTAGATGGAACCGCATTCTAAACGCGCTAACACGACAGGGCGGCTTTGGTGAGCGCTTCTCGTGTAGGATGAACTTGTTCCCCTAAGAACTGACAACCTGGAAAGGTCGGAATAATGGAGCGAAGGCCTTTAGCAACAGTTACATCAGGACTTTGCGGAGACTAATCAGCACCGTGTGCTCGGTAGCAGGTCTGATTCCAGGTGGGCCCCGCGGAGGTCACGGAGAAAGCTGGCCTGGGTCGGAGACTTCCCAGGGCCCTGGTCTAAAAGGGGGTGCTAGTGAAGGTCCCGCATTCAATCGATATTCCGTGCCAAGGGCTGCTCGGTGCAGTGGACCGGTGGCTAATAAACTTGTCCTTCTACATAAGCCACCGTATTATGTGACTGTGTCTGGGCCAGGAACCAAGGCGTGCTATGATTTCAGAGCCTGGGTCCTTGTCACCTGGGGAAGGGACACGCTCCGGTGACGTAAGAAAGCGGGTAAATCAACCATCACCGAGACCTGCAGACTCCGAAATTAAAGGAGAAAATATGCGTGCAGTTGGTTCAATTGGCACCCATTAAAGCTAATAACTAATCATCCTCGCAAGTTTCTAGCTCAGAATGATCAAATCTGCAAAGAAAACAACATCCGTCCACTTTTACACTCCAGTGGAAGAGGTGGTCCCTCGCGGCAGGGTGGCACAGTCTCGCCATCTGGAGAATAAATCGAGTGTGAAGTACAGTATAGTTTGGGACCAAGCTCCGTGGCGGCAGCTCAGCAGTCAGTTCATTAGTTCCAAACTTCCAGGGATTAGAGCCACATCAATTCTACTGTCGGATAGGAAGAGACAGACCGGATTCAGATTCAAGGAGGATTGTGACAACCAGGAGGAGCCCCTTGGGCTTATTTATAAAACTACAAAGTATAAACAGACCCAAATAAGTGCCTTAAATAATAGCATTATCACAGTTTCATAACATCTGAATTAACACCTTTCCCTTCATCCGCCCCCCCCAACACACAAACGCACACACTGAAACCTTGCATGTTAACGTATAGTCATTTTCAGAAGAAATCGCAAAGACTACCCGGATGCAACAGGAGCAATGAGGAAGAAAGCTGTGTGGCCGGACTGAGATTTGGTAATTAAGAAATACCAAAGACTTTCTAGACTCCAGGGAGATGCATAACATTTGTGATTTTTAAAAATGTGTAATTAATATTTTCATCCTGCAAAAGGCACGCTGCCACGCTGCATATCCAAAATGATATGTGAATCCAAAATGTTAGTGAATTCTATCTTTTCTGCATCGGTCCAGCTCATGTCATTTCCATTTTATCTAATTCCTAAAATGATGTCACAGGCATGGAGTGGAACAAATTTTTGGCAGAAGGGCTGGATATCAGAATCAATATGAATTATTTTTTTGAAAAATGTGAGAATGTTTGAAATAAATTCTGAGTGAATCGTTCCATTTAAGGTCTCCTTTATATAACTTCTTTTTATACATTTATATTAAAAAACAGAAGTGCTTATAACATAAAACATGTCATAACTAAGTAATTTATATTTTTGTATTTTTCTTATAAATGTATAAAATTTATTATAATCACAGAGACTTGTAGTGACTGCTTGAAAACTAAAGGCAAATAAATTCTCATTAATTATTATAACCTGGTAGTGTTTCTTTAGGCAAGATGATAGTGCTGTGTTTTTTATCCCATTGAATTTTTCACATGAAAAACAAATCTTAGGTTGCCTGTTTTTGAAAACAAAATCTACAACACTATTGAACATACCATGAGTTAACTGGTTTGATATTTCATTCATTAGTACACTGCAGGCACAGTCAACAAAAGAAAAAAATAAATAAATTGGACTTTATGAAACATTAAAAATTTAAAAAATTTATAAAAGGCAACCTACAGAATGGGAGAAAATATTTGCAAATCATATATCTCATAAATAATTAATATCTAGTACATATACATAACTCCTAAAAGTCAACAATAAAAAA